AAGGAAGTTTAATGTTAAGTTGTAAAATATTCCTCAAAATTGCTATCTAGGATCGTAAGTAGTTTGAAGTGATTGCCTTCGATTATGTGTAAAATTAGAATCCCGTTTTTCCTTGATTCTGAGTTATAATATCAAATTTGTAAGACAAATTGTGGTATTTAAGTGTTAACGGACAAAAAGCATGAATCTGGGAAAAGAAAGAGTGAATAATTGCTAACTTTGACACTATAGCCCGAATTAATTGCTTTTACAACCACATGATGTGCCTAAGTTTTAAGAATGCCTATAAGCTGTAGTTCTAAGAACTAAATTTTCTTCACAGTTTATGGTTTGATTGTAGTCTGTGAGAACTGCCAAACAATGAAAATGATGCTATTAATTTCTTACGAGACTATAATATAACTGTGAGTTATCTAATTGGCATGTTATGAAATTATGAGTCAGTCGAAGAGTGCATGGCGATAGGGTTTTTTTTTCAGAATCACGGAATAAGAAACATAGGGTACAGCAAGATATCATTTTAAGTCGTCCTTAATGGAATTCATGGGGTAGCAGAAATTTGTAGCTTGGAGTAAAAAACCCTTTGAAGCTATTTTAGAAGCACCTGCCAAATATTTTCCTCCCCAAATAAAGAAAAACTAAGTGTATCAAATTACAGCCATAGTTAGCCTGTCCTTCAGCATTAGAAGGTAAATACTCAAATTATTTATGTTTTTTGGTCAGGAGCACTAAAAGGTAAAGTGCATTTTTAATAATATTTCTGCTAATGAATATTTTTGTGAGTTTTCGAGATATAAATTACTTGACACTTTCTATATTAAACAACAGAAAGGAGAAATTAATGCATCCTTTAGAAACTGATCCGCACTGTTACAAATTTCCACAATATCCATATTACCATACTTGTTAAAATAATTGCTTTTATTTGAGACATGGTTTCCTGTCACATAAGCAGTATTAAATAACAATTGGTGCATTATGATGATTATCTGTAAAGGTATTAAGCAAGGAAAGCAAAATTTGATGCTGTTTGAAAGTAATTCTAACTTAGACAGTAATCAAACCATAAGCTTTTAGAGATCGGAGGGATAGTTTTAAAAAAGTGTGTAGTTTATAATGTAGAGTAAATAAGCAAGTCTATTGGCAAGATCTTATTGGTATTGATCTCCTGAATTGTTTAAATCGGAATGCAGTTTTAATTAGGAAAATATGATGATTTTATTACTCCTGTGCTAAATTTAGGGCCCCTCTCCATTTTTAACTACTAAATTAGGTACAAATGGTCTTATAAAGCGCAGGATACATGTGGTCACCAAATGTGGCGATATTTTGTGTTTGGGTGGTTTACTTAAGATTTTGTTTGTACGGCAACCTTTTTTACGTGGAAAGTTTTGTGAGAAATGTGCTTGTATTTCATCGTGGTAGTTGGTTATGTGTTGAATAATGGCATATAGTTCCATGAAGGAAATTGTGCAGATATATCAGCCACAAGTTTTAAAGTGTATTCAAGCTAGATCTAGTTCGAGAAGGTATTTGTTGGAATTATTAATTAAGCATTTGTTCATGGTTGTCTTTATGATGACAGAAGAGTATTTTTTTAGTTTTTGTGGGATACGGGATTTTTGAAGCTGAACTTGACAAATGAGAAGTGCAGGTTTGATATGAAGATTCAGAAGAAAAATCATGTTTCTGATGGATTTGTGTGGATTTGCAGAAAAGTTGTTGAGGGTAAAGAATGTGGTTCTCAACAAAGTTTGAGGTTTGGATATTGGTTTTCCTACAGTAAGTTGACATTAGAGGGAATTTTTATTGTAATGTTTGAAATTAAGACGTCTGACATAGCTAAGTCATTTTGGTGCACATGCTTTGTGGGATTGGTGTAGTTTTATTAATGAAAGTATATTGGATTATATGGTACAGCTCTGATATACACCCTAATTTCACCAAATGTGGCAATATGTGTTCTGCGCTGGTTTTTGGCTCCATTGCGTGTTGTGTGGAGTTCGTTGGTTCGCGTCATGCTCGTTGGTTCGTGTCTGTGTCTGAGAAGATAGGGGGAAAGATAAAATGGTAGAAGTTGTTGAATTGAAGTTCGGCAAAAGGAAATATCATTGTGGCCATCCTTTTGAGGGACCAGTGGGTGTTTGGACGAGTGGAAAGAGGGTCTGGAAGATTATTTTTAGTGGCTCTGCATGATAGAAGTAGGGATTTGTGATTTTATTTATTTGGAAAACCATAGTATAAATTTTCTGGATAGTGTGTCTGGCTGTCATATAAATACGATAGTGATTATGTGGCGACATGTTAAAGGCGGTATGAAACTGGTATTTCTGCTGTTTGAAGAAGCATTAATTCATGGTAAGTGCGTTTTATTTTATACTTGTTCTTATTTTGTAGAATGTTATGTTCATCGTTTTTTTAGTATGAATTTATGTTGTTATTGTTGTTTTTTGAATTGTTTGAAATTTATTTTAGTTTATTTTTGTTGATTAGTGCATAGTGTCTAAATTGTGCAATTTGTAGATGTTTTTTAAAGTTGAAACAGGATGCATTGTACATAGTATTCTTTGAAATTTATTGTTGTTATGTTAGTGTATTAAAGCGAGGTGTACGTAGTTCATAGATTTGTTCATTGCCTAGATTGTGCCATTCGTAGATATTTTTTTAAGTTAAAAAATATTGCTGTGTACATAGATTCTTGTCAAATATTTTTGGTTAGAAACTTTACGTTTTTGCTATCTAAATTTTTTGTTTTTGTTTCGGATTTTTAGCTTAAATTGTGTGTTCAAAACGTGGTTTTTGCATGTGCGAAATCCACGTTTTTGGAGTCATTTTAGGCTTAAAGTTCAAAATGTAGACAAAATTTTAGATAGTAATATGGCAGAGTGGAGTTTTTCGCCAAAAATGTTTGGCAAGAAATTTGGCGACTTGAGGGCGCATATCAGAGTAGTTCCGCTTATGTATGTGATATATCTGTCCTTACAAGTTTTTATTTGAAATTAATAGTTTGCTTTTTTGGGAACTCAAATGTATATCTAGTAAAATATCTGATTATTGAGAAAAAATGCTGACTTGGTAGCCAACAAAACATAAAATTGTTATCAGACCTGCTAGGTATTTCCTGGAATCTTTGCTTTGTGATATATGATTGGTTGACTTAAAGCAAAACTAGCTTTTGGGCAAAAACCTACTTTTTTATGGTTTTGATAAAGACAAAGCTGCAAGTGAGACATTTTTGCCAGCGTTATTAAATGTTCTACATGTAATCAGGACATAGCTTTCAGAGTCTTAGAACCTTTGAGCAAAAACCCTGGAGACAGGAAGTTTCCAAGGGTTTGACTAGAAATCCTCTTATTTACATGAGTGCTCGGAAAAGTTTCTTCCAACTTCGCACATCACTAGATGTGATAAGCCCATAAGACAAATGAGCTATTAACTTAATGATACACTCTGCTGCTGAAAGAAAGCAATATAATATTTTGTTATGTCATAAAGAAAATATATTCATAAAAGCATATGAGAAATATTGAGGAACTTTTTTTTTTTTTTTTTTTTTTAAAGGAAGAATTTTTGTGAAATTGATCTCTTGGACAAAAAGTTATGATGATTTGTTTCAGATCAAAAGAATATGCGATTTACTACAAGCTTCGTTCTTGCAGATTCTTATGAATAATTATCTCAATCTACATAGCATAGGGAAGAAAGTGAAATATCTCAATCTACATAGCATAGGGAAAAAGAGAATTCCAACTGAAATATGATTTTTTTTTTTTTTCATTTAACAGAAGAGTATTTTGAGAATGGGCTACTAAATATTTATTTATTATTAAGGCGTAGCCCAATCGAGTTCCTCTCCAAGATATTCAATGAATGATGATAAAATTTGCATATTTAAATTCAATATAATATTGATAGAAAATTCTAGGAAGATGAGCTGCAAATTGTTAATTATTGTCTAGGTCATGTAGTAGTTCATTTTTAAATGGTGATTCTAATCTAGCAAACATGTAAAGGTTGATAGAACATATTGAAAGGAACCAATTTTGTAGCGTAATATGTGTGAGGAAATGGTGCATTGAGGTCGTTCGGGTGCTGTAGAGCGATAAACTAATGCATAAATCGTAGTTCCCAGTGTGAAATTCAAGCAGTATGCATTTACATTAAAGGTTCCCAACAGGGTCAGTATCAACCTGCTGAAAGTTGATGAAATTTTAAAGAAGGGGAATGATGGTTAAGGAGTCAATAGCCAAATATGCGCCAGCAGTTGATTGGTATAATTAAGATCTCATTGATTATAAAAGGTATATTTATAAAATTCATAATTATTTGTTTATTGATGTACAGTACAAAATCTGTAATCCGGATGTTCGTTATCCGGAATGATCTATATTCTGGACCTCAAAGCCACAAACTTTTTTTTTGTGTGCTTTACGCATGCGCTTTTAGCACAAAAAACGAAGCAACTTAAAGAACTTACATTGAAAGAAATGCGTAATAAAGTAAACAAATAAATATTAAGCTTTTTTTTTTTGCTAAATTTTGATACCCTTTAGATCATAATTGCTCTTTATTTCATAAATTACGGTTTCATATTTTTAATTGTATAATTTCTGCATGCCATCTTACCAGATTTAAATTGATCATCTATAATCCGGAAAAACCCTTAATCCGGAATTGCCGAAGTCCGACGAGTCTGGATTACGGACTTTATACTGTATAAAACTATATCATGTAGTGAGAAGAAGTTACATAATATATATATAACACACAGGGTGGGTTTGGGATAAATTTGACAATTTCGTAAGGAAAAAAGAAAATCCGCTGTATGAGTGTAGCGAAGGTCTCATTGAGTGCAAGCTCATGTAGAGGCTGCACATCATTTCACGTGACAAGCCCGAATTCCAATGCAGGGTTCAGGGTTCTTCAACACCTGTTCTGCAGATTTGCGGAATTCTGTGTAAGAACGCAATCAGAATCTGCTACGGATTTCTTCTTGCTACATCCTCATAGTCACCATTGCAAGTCTAGTTCATGCCTGATTGTTTTTACTGTGTTCAGGGAGCATTGGGCAGCAGTCATAATATCCTTATGTTGAAGGCCAGCACAAATCATCATGATGCACATGATTCAGGTGGGTTCCAGTCATCCATCCTTTCTGACATCTTGTATATGAATGAAGAAAGGTCCAAACTTTTAAATGATGAGTAGTGTGCGTCAGTACATCCAACCTACGAAAAAATATAATAAATTATAAATATGTCAAATTTATCCTGAACACCCTGTATATATATATAAGGGAAAGAGATCACTAAAATGATTTAAAACATTTTAAATTTCAATAATATCTTTATTTTTTTATTTTTGTTTTAAATTTGACTTGTTTATTTCAATGCTGAATCGAAAAGAATTCTTTTACTTTAATGCGGTTTTTTGGTACTGAAAAGAATTATATTTTTTATCAGATTGTTATATGTAAGTCACTTGCAAAATTTAAAAGAAGATTTTAATGTTGCTTTCAAGTCACTGAAAATTTCAGTGTGCCAGCATGACTCATAGAATGGCTGAATTGGATAGATCTGATCTTGGTATTATGATGCACTGAAGGAGGATATTCAGGCACAAGTCTTATTATATGTATACTAAGGTTTTTGAAATTTAAAAGCTATCCAAGAAAAATGCGTTTACAAATGTTACCATCAAAGGCTCTTGAAGGAAGTTGAGAGTCATTTTAAAAATGTTTGATATCTAAAAAGATAATTGAGTGAATTTCTGAATTTTAAAGATATTACACTTGTCTTAAATATTTTAAATATAAAGCTATAAAATAAATTTATTACATTACTAAGAGAAAAATTCATTGCAACTAAAAAGATAAATAAAATGAAAATAACACTGTTAAAATAATTGAGATTGTCTTTATTTGCAATTCAAAGCCAAATTTGGTACTTGTATACTATTGTAACCATCTCAGTAGAAGTAACCAAATTTTCAGAAAGTGTCAAACTACTGTGCACATAACCATTCTTTCAACAACCATGCTGATTACAATCTTTTCAACCAAACAACCTCACTATTTTTGTATGCATTCTATTTTGTTGTATTCCAAGTTTCAACAGTTTTTATTCACAAATCATGATACTTTTTTGCCTTAAACTTAGTTTTAAAATATGAGCTTGTGGAATTCACCTGCAATGGAAGAAGCTGCGGTAAAATTTTGGCAGTAATACAGTGTATAGTCACAGTTTATTAATATTTAAATGGAGAAGCTGAATGGTAGACTAATTTAATGTATACCTTTTGCTTAGGAAAAGGAAAGGATCTGCGAAAACATGGTATCGATGTTTTTGTTGTGGTACGACGTCTTGGAAACATCCAGGAAGAAGGTTTTTCCGGTTTCCTAAGGATCCTGTTAGGTAAGAGTTTTTAATTTAAATATAAAAATTATTAAGATTTGATTATTATATCCCTGTGATATCTTTTTAGAGAAAATTTAAGTTCTCAATAATACATTGTTCATTTATTTTGCAGTTACAACTTCGTGGCCAAGCTGTAATTTTAATTTTTTTGCCATCTATATCTGATGTCACTTTTGATTTGACTATTTAAAAAAATTATTGTACAAGTAATAAGTACTTGATTAGCATTCTAATGTGTACTCCAATTCTGAATCAATTTATTTCATTTAAACTATGCTACATCTTTACTAATATGAAAAATAAATTTATTGAATGAAAGAATATAAAGTTACTATTTTTTATTTTTACAGGTCAAAACAGTGGGCTGCTGCCTGCAATAGAGATCTACATAACAAATCTCCAGAAGAATTATACAGAACAGGAAGAGTGTGCTCTAAACATTTCATTCCAAGTGACTTCTGCTCGACAAAAATGCGTTACTTACATTCCTGTGCAATACCAAAGAAATTAGGGCACACAGGTAGCTATGATTCTCTGAATATTTTTATAAAATTAAATTTTGTGTCTTGTTATAATACATGTTTTTGTCTTGTTTTTCAAATTAAATTTGTCTAACTTTACATTTAGAATTCGACAGATAGGTTATTTTTGCATAGTTTAGGGATTGGTCAGTAGTGCTGGATGTTAACCATTTATTTTTTAATATGAATGTTCATGGGTGTCAAGAAAATTGCTTTTTGTTAATCTTAACAATTGATTCACAAATTTAATTTGATTCTGAAAGCCATTTATCATTTAAAAAATTCGTAAAGCAAAATTATTTTCCCCATAGCAATTATTGTAAAGTGGATTAATCTATTCTTGGACCACAGGTGATAACTTACTTAAAATTTACTCCAGTACTTTGTGTACAACTTCGTAACCTAAAAAGCAATGGAAGTCATTAAACATAAATAGAATATTAAACAGATTAAATAGACAAAATGATGAATAGGAAAAGACTGAATAGGGAATGCTTACAAAGTTCTAGCATTTTTTCCTTGTTGAACTAATTTTTTATAGTTCTCTAGTATTCCATAGGCTCATTGGAAACTTCTAAGCTCAAGACTAATATATGTAGCTTACAATATCATAGATAGCAAAAATATCTTCAATGTCAACATCTTGAAACTCTATGTGCAACACAATCTGTCCATAAGTCCTTTCAAGCCAAAATCGTAAGTCACTATTCCTGGGTATTTTAAATGAGAGTTAAGCAACAGGAAATATTAAACTAATGTTTACAGAAGTATCTGAGTGTGAAACATTTTGCGTCTGAGGTAACCTTAGAACATTTACAGAAGTCTCTGAGTGTGAAACATTTTGTGTATGAGGTAACCTTAGAACATTTCTCAAGAATCAGCCGTCTTACCGGTGTAGTGGTTAGCGTCGCTGACTGCCGTGCCGAAGGGCCCGGGCTCGAATCCAGAGAAGGCATGGATGTTTGTAAATGTAATAGTGTCCGTGCATGCGATGAGCCAAAATTCCTCTCGAGAGGTTGGTGATAAGTGGAAGAGGAGTGAGAGATCCTCAGACCCGTTCCCTCGGGGTGCTCTCCAACAAAATTGGGGGCGGAACTGTGCTAAATCACGTTGTCACCTGTAAGGTGCTCAAAGCTGTTGACAACAATAGTCGACACTTGTGCTCCTTGCTACAAGGAATTCTGTGGGCTTGTGATTACTATAAGTCAGACAAATGAGCATTAGCAACAACAGCAACAAGAACTTCCGAAAATCATTTTTTGGTAACTTTAAGTGATTGTAACTCAAGATACTATTTGCCATCCAAAGCAATTTTTTTCACTGTCAATAGTGGTATTTCATGTGAATATAATATGTGTGTTGAGTTTATATCTCAGTAAGCTGTATTTGAATGCGTGTGTGTTTATATAATTTAAAAAGTTTTATAAGAACATATGTGGTAATATAAAAGTGACAAGACAGTGAAACTGAATTCCTTTTATGTGTGTTTTGTGTGAGACAAATATAATGTTTAATTTTATCTTTCTTAAAACAATTTACATAAGCAGCTAGGTCAAAGACATATCATTGTCAGAAGGCTAAAAGAATTAAGATGTTACTTTTTTGTTAGTTTTACAATGTTGGCTGATTTTTTTTTTTTTTTTTTTTTTTTTTTTTTTTTTTTTTTTTTTATGCAGCATTATGTCACATTGTGCTCACAAAGTTATTAACTAAAATTTCACTACAGTAAACCAATACAGAAAAGCACAGGCCATAGAACTATTCATAAGGCAAAAGCAGCTCAAGAATAAATAAAAACTTCAGTAGTAATATTGATAGTAATGATAAACAATTTGAGAAAAGTGAGATATTTACAGAAATATTTACAGAAAAGTGTACTCAACATTTTAAAATTTATTGTTAACTTAATAGCAAATTGCATGCTTTTACTATAAAAGATTGTGTGATATATTTGCTGTATTTAAATAAATTATTTTTATTGTTTTTTAGATGAAGAAATTTCAAAAAATATGAAAGTTGATATTGAACAGATATCACTTATGTTAAAAAAAAAACTGGATGAGGCCACAACTGTTGAGATGTCATCTGTGAAGAGTGAAAATACATGTCAAGAGAATGAAGGAATAAAAACACCAATGAAGTTGGCATATGTGAAGAGAGAAGCTACATCTCAAGAGAATGAAGTAACAAAAATGCCAGTGGAACTGGCGTCTGTGAAGACTGAAGGTGCATGTCAAGAGAATGAAGTAATAAAAGCACCAATGGAACTGACATCTGTGAAGAGTGAAAATACATGGCAAGACACTGAAGTAATAGGAATATGTATGGAGCTGGTATTTGTGAAGAGTGAAGATACATGTCAAGAGAATGAAGTAGTAGAAACAGCAGTAAAGCTGGCATCTGTGAAGCGTGAAGACACATGTCAAGAGAATGAAGTAATAAAAACGCCAGTGGAACTGGTATCTGTGAAGATTGAAGATACATGTCAAGAAAATCAAGTAATAAAAACACCAATGGAACTGGCATCTATGAACAATGAAGAGAGGCCTAGAGAATGAAGTAATCGAAGCATCCATGAAGCTGGTATTTATGAAAAGGGAAGATACATGTCAAGAGAATGAAGTAGTAGAAACATCAGTGAAGCTGGCATCTGTGAAGAGTGAAGATACATGTCAAGAGAATGAAGTAATTGAAACTGCAGTGGAGCTGGCATCTAGAATGAAGTAATAGAAACACTAGTCTGGCATTTAAAATTAAGTAATATAAATACCAAAGGAGTTGGCATCCATTAAGAGTGAACATACAGTGGCTCACAAAAATGATCGTATACTTTGAATTTTTACATTCTTTAATGAACATAAAAATTAAAATAAATTAAAACAAAAAGAAAGGTTTTTATTTGATTATATATTAATTCAACATTTTTTTTATAGTAAATACTTTTCGAAAATATACAAATTAAATTCAAAAATCAGTATCATTTGTTTAATGAGGAAAAATATTCTCACAAATAATAATAAGTGGACACTTTTAGTAACAGCCCAAAATGACAAAAACTTGCATTGTTTTTGCTTTTTAATATCTTGCTTTTTATTATCCTTTACACTTGATCACTTCCTTTAATCTTTTGGGCATTGACTTTTTTTTTTTTTTTTTTAAATTTCTGAATTTATTTAGTGCTACTTCTCTTAAACCACTGCTTTCAGTTGCTGCTGCGAAGATATGCTCTGTTCTCAAATTTTTCATTGTAGTTCCTGCCAAATACGTTCAATAGGATTAAGATCTGGTGATTGGGGTGGTGCATTAATTACTTCTGGGCACTTATACAACAGCCTGAGTCTAACATTGTGTGTAGTATGCTTTGGATCATTTTCTGGTAAAGTTTAAAACTTTTTTGCATATTAAGTTTTTGTGCTAATGATGCCAATTCCGCTTCTAGATGTCAAGGTACTTATACTGATCCATAATTCATGTATAAACTCTGGAAATATTTCCAACACTGGAATATGCCATAGATCCCCATGCCATAACTTCCCTTCAACTGTATTAACACTTGGTACAAAATTTTGCTTCCGAAATTTCTCTTTGAGCTTCTCCACACCAGCACTCGTCCATTTTAGGCGAAGATATTGAATTTGCTTTCATCAGCGAACAACACTTTTTCCCTGTAGTCGGATGTCTTGTGTTGCACCAATTTTGCGAGAGCGAGTCTAAGTTTTTGTTTTTTTACTGACAAAGATTTCTTGCTACTCGCCCATGATATCCTGCAGATCGCATTACTTTTCTTATATTCCATGTAATTCATGAAGTTTTGCAATAAGTTTAGGAGCATTCTTGGATTCTTTTTAATATTCCTTAGAATAAAGCATTTTATTCCATCAGATAATTTAGATGGTCTTCCAGGTCTTCTTTTTTTTTAAAAAAAGATTCTGTTTATTATAAGGCTTAATAATACCAAAAATTGTAGAGTTACTTAATTTTAAATAGGCAATTTTCTAATATGTTTCTCTTTCTTTTGATGCAAATCTAAAACTACTCTGCAGATTTCTAACAGTGTTTCTGTGACCTAGCCATTGCAAGAAAACATTAAAATAACAAATATTTTCTAAAAAGAGAATGTGAATTAGAAATGCAAGTGATTTTTAGATTTTTGTCTAGCCTTTTTTATCCAAACTAATTCCATAAAATTTCATTTTTTCTTTATTGCAGAGGATTTTAATTAGAAATTATGAAAATATCTGAATAATTTTGTGGTATCATTTTTTTTTTTTTTTCCCATTTCAGCCTAAAACATTTTTAAAATTTACTATTTAATTTTTTCTAATTTATTTAGTACCAAGAGAGAGCTAAGAAAATATGTATTCAAAGGGAAAATATTCTTTATTATTTTATTGAGAAGCTTTTCTCCTGTTACTTAAATATATATATATATATATATATATATATATATATATATAGTTGCCGATCATTTTTACAAGACACATGTCAAGAGAATGAACTAGAAGAAGCAACAGTGAAGCTGGCATCTGTTAAGAGTGAAGATACCTGCCAAAAGAATGAAGTAATAAAAACACCAAAGTAGAGTTACAAAGTTTACACCCTGGGAGGTTAAGGTGGTTTGTTGACAAATGTCTGCCTGTTCTTTCAACATAAACAAATTTAGTGGTATATTATTACATAAGAAAATGCAGTGAAGTACTGAAAAAGTCTGCTCCAACATGTAATATATCTTCTAAATTCTGCGGCATTGAAAGAAATGGTTTATTTTTATCTATTATTAATAAATATTTGCCAAATATCACTTTTTACTGTTTTTTCAATTAGTATCAGTGTTGAAAAAGAGAAGATGCCACAACTCCTTTATTTTATCTCTGGAAACGAAATAACATTTACACATTCACCATAAAGCAGCTCATTCATCAAAATGTTATTCTTAATAGCGGCTGTAAAAAATGCTGCATCTGTTAAGGGAAAGATACTTGCAGCAACCCTATTGCATCTTATTAAACAGTCATTTGTTTGTTACATTTATTTGTACTGTGATCGGTTGCATAGCATATATTTTATTAAGGGTTCAAAGATGAGAAAATGTCAAGGCCACCTGAAAAAACATCCAAAAGGGAACAAAAAATCTCAAGTTCAAGCAAATTTGGTGAACTCAAGAACTTGATTTAGGAATAAAGACCCAGAATTTGGAAGGTTTAGGAGGTGAGAAATAATTTATTCTTTATATCAGTTATTTCGTAGTTATGAATTCATAGTAAGTTAATTCCGAAATAAAGTATCCTTATTTTCTTATTGAAGGTCAGAAATTGTTGGTACATCTATATCTGCATCAAATGTGATTGATTTCCTGAATAACATTTTTTTGAAAGTAAGTTTTTCATTTTTTTTTTTTGGTAATATTTATTCAATCTTGTTATAGCAGTTTATTCCTTCTTTCACTCTAGATTGGAAAATATCAAAAGGATAAGTTCTTGATCACCAGAAGTTGTTAAAATAAATCAATCTTTTCTTAAGTATGCACATAATCTTGTGATCTAATGCACATAATCTTGTAATCTTGTGATCTAAATAGGATCTGCCTTCGTTACATGATACTGGAAAAGCTTACAGTCATTTATCTGCCACAGAATGCTTTTTGTCCTTCTGATTCATTTAATTAAAATTATTGCAACAATTACCTATGGTATATGTTACAGGTGTATGCACTTTGCATTTATGTGTTGGCTGTTCAACTTGCTTTTTTTATTATGTCATTTACTTGGATTACATAAAGATTCCTTTATCATTCGAGCATTTTATCATCATTTGGTATAATTTATATACCAAATACCCCAAAGTTTAATTCAACGTGAGTCCCTCGAGGTAAGCAGACGTATCATGATTGAGCTCCTCTCCCTCTCCGTCACCGATGCCGGACGCATGAGCCAGCCCCGTAGATTTAATGGATACTACGGATATCAACGATTCTTTGCCTTCAACCTCAACTGCTCCTGTTCCTGCGGAACCACAACAATCTACAATAGCGTCTACTTATGATGATCGAATTGTAGACAATCTCCTCATGGAAATCAAGCAGCTATACGCTTTGAAATCCAGATTCTCCGAACTTGAAGCCACGCTGACTAGAAGCAAGAGAGCCACTCCTTTGTGCAACTTCGACTTAAAGCAAGTGGAGGCCGAGAGTCAGGTAATTCTTTCATCGCTTACCTAGTCTTGTTAAGTGCCTAAAACTCCCCCTATTTCCCATCCCAAGCACAGAAGAAGAGTGCTTTTCAAAATTATTTCACGCATGCGAAAACCCCAAAGATTTACAAACGGATGTTATCTCTAAATCTGTATAAAAAGTAAGCCTGAGAAGAGTTCTAAAGCTAATGATCAAACCACTAGCAATAGTAGCAATGCTAAAAATTCCATACTTAAACCTGCAAAACTTGTGTTTGACAAGTCCAATCAAAATTCACCTAAAAAATAAAAAAAAAATCAACTCCTACTAAAGCTAAAATAGCTTCTAAACAGTTGCCTCAGAAGAAAAGCAGAATTATTGGTTCTGATGGCTTTTCAGAACCTCCAAAACATTTGGTAGTTAAAGCAGTAGAAAAGAAATCTAACAATGGCACTTCTCCCTCACCTCCATCTTTAAGCGAGCGGAGCGAAACAATCAGTTCTGCCACCCCCTCCCTTGAGGAGGGAGAGATCAATGAACTAGACTCGGAGCAGAGTGAAAGCCCATCCCCTCCTGCTAAGAATATTCTCTATTTCTTTGTTGTACCCAATGACTGGAAATTCTTAGTTAAAATTGCTCAACGCGCAGTTCCAGCCGCCCAATGCCACATAAAAGGGCATTATCTAAGAATATCTGTAGACTCCAGAGAGAAATACCATTCCGTTGACCAAGTCTTGAGGAATCAAGGCGCGGAGTTAAAGTCTTTTCACCTACGACAGGATCTTCCTCTGAAAGTGATTATAAGAGTCTTTCCAACTAAAACCAATTCAGATGACATAAAAGCTGAATTAATCCTCATGGGCTACAGCATATTCAGTGTAACGCAATTATGCCGTTACAAATCCCGGCACCCTATGCCTCTGTTTCTTGTACAACTCAATCCTACCATCAGTGTGTGCGATATCTTCAAAGAAACCAAGATGTTTGGCATCCACATCAAAGTGGAAAAACACAAGGGAAGGGAAGGCAAGGTATCTCAATGTTGGAGGCGCCAGGATTTCATCCACTCCAGTGTTGTTTGTACTCTACCCATTTGTCTGTGGTGTGCTGGACCCCACTTTGCCCGGGACTGCCCAAAGCCGTTCGAAGAACCAAACATCTGCGCAAACTGCTCTGGAGGGCATGCCGCCAATTGGAATCACTGCCCAAGACATCCAGCTAATAAAAACAAGAAACAAAGGGGACCCTCAAACCCTATTTCGAACTCCCAAGTTGCTGGGAAACAAAATTTTGTACCCGCTCCCTCTCCAGCTCCATTTAGCAGCACGGCTCCTTATTCTCTTCCAAAGTATTGCACAAGCGTACAAATCCCTGAAGAACGTCCGTACATTCTCAAAGACCAACTGCCACTCCATCTGCTCCAGTTCCGGCACCATTTCCTGCTCCGGAGAAACCACCTGCCCAGGTTCTAGCCCAACCTGCTGTGCCTGACGACAACTCTTGTACCGACACTCTCAGGAGTGTCTTCCAGATCTGTCGAGAGTTCAGTATAGATCAGAGACTCCTCCTGGCTGCATTCCGGAAGGCCGTGCCTCAACTCTCACTGCATCTTCAGGTCCAGAGAGAGCATTCTTTATATTTGAGAACTATTGTGCTCTTACTTCTTAAGACTTCAAATTCAATGCCTCAAATAGACAAGAACTCCTCATCGGATACTGGAATGCTAACGGCGTTCTTCCAAAAATTCACGAATTGCGGGATTTTGTCTTTGAGCATGCTGTGGACCTCTTCCTCGTTCAAGAAACTCATCTGGTTGAGGGACGTAGCGCCAATATTCCCAATTATTTCTGCTACCGCAATGATAGAGCGGCTAGCAACAGTGACACTATTCGCGCTAGTGGCGGCACTGCAATTTATGTAAAACACACTGTGAAACACAGTAGAATTCCAACTTCGCAAATGGAGGCTCTCGAGGCAACTATCATCCAAATTTATGTTCAAAATTTACCCCCCCCATAGCAGTAGCGTCCTGCTATATGCCTCCGAGAAAAGGACCTAATTTTGTTCCTGATCTCAAAAAACTTAGCGGAGTCTTAAATAATATGATTGTTGCAGGAGATTTTAATGCCCGTCATAGAAGTTGGGATTGCGTCACTGCCAACAACTATGGCGATAAGCTTAAAAACTGGGCTCAGGGCGCCCACATCCAAATTGTTGCACCAGGAGTACCTATGCATTATCAGTTTCCTGGTGGCATAGGTGCTCCATCCATTATTGATTTGGCACTGTTCAAAAACATTCCATTAGCTCATTTGATACAAGTGATTCTGGAATTGTCAAGCGACCGCTACCCCTTTCACCTTACCCTTAACTGTACCAAAATTAATCAAAGTTTACCAGCGCAAGTCTCCACTAACTGGGACAATTTTCAGCATATTTTGAATTCTAATAAACTACCCACCCTCAAAATTAGCAATAATCGTGATGTTGACAACTCTATCGAACAACTCACCAGCACAATCAAAAGTGCATTGGATGCAGCCTCATTTCCTAAATTTAGACCCAACTATTCTAAACTCCCAGCTAATATTAAAGAAAAAAATCAAAATTAAAAGTCATCTTCGTAGAGATTGGCAAAGAACCTGATTTGAAACTATCAGAACCCAACTACGAAGACTCTAGAAAAAGATTAAATCTGATATCAAAAGGTATTCTGATGATATAAGTACAATAACTATCTTAGGTCCTTAAAGACCACTAATAATAGCCTTCGGGAAGCTAGCGTTCGGCTATGCAAAATATTATCCTACTAGCTGGAAGAATGCTTGTGTCATTCCCATTCTAAAACCTGCTTCGGACCCAAAAGTCCCTCAAAATTACAGGCCGATCAGCCTCCTGTCTTCAGTTAGTAAACTCTACGAAACTGTATTGCTTAGACACCTGAAAGATTTCTGCCGAAACCGAAATATCATTATTCCCCAACAATTCGGTTTTTGTGTTAAACACTCCACTCAGGCCCAGCTACTGAGAGTAGTGGAAATCATTCATGAATGAGTGGAAATGAGTGCTCCCAATGGAATGCCGACAGCAATCGTCTATTTAGACGTAGCTAAAGCATTCGACAGGTGTTGGCTTATCGGTATTATATACAAGCTCATGCATGCGACTTGGATTTTCAGCTGACTTTGTGCAACTAATGCACTCCTATCTCAGTAATAGACACTTTTGTGTAAAAATTAAAAATTCTCTCTCTTCCCCCTGTCCTATTCAGGCCGGTGACCTGCAGGGCGGAATAATAAGTGCATATTTATTCAACCTGTATGTAAACGACATTCCACAATCACCTACTGTTGATCTGGCACTTTATGCAGACGACACTGCCATTATTTCACAACACTCAACTCTCCATCACACACTTCATCATCTCCAGCATTACCTGTCAGTAGAGTCCTGGCTCGTTGACTGGAAAATAAAAATTAATGTTGCCAAAAGTGTTGCCACAGTTTTCTTTTCCAGAAAATGGAATGTCCACAGCCAAATCCAACCACTCAAGCTCTACAGTGAAAATGTTCCTTGGGTGGATTACTATAAATATATAGGAGTTTATTTGGATGCGAAGCTCATCTGGGGCGTTCACATCACCTATGCAATAACTAAAGCCAGGACTACAAGATCTCAACTCATGCAACTCATCTCAAGAACCAACAATCTCGCTCTTCGAAACAAGGTACTCCTCTACTCAAGCATCATCATGCCAATACTCACCTACGCAGCTCCTATCTGGGCCACTGCAGCTAACTCTCACCTAAAGAAAATACAAGTTTTTCAAAACGTCACGCTTCACGTCCTAACTAATGCTCACTGGTACTTTCATAATGAAGTACTTCATTATGACCTCAAAATTCCTCCCCTAGATGCTTTCTTCAAGCATGTTTCGGCAAAATTCTTTCATCGTTTTGAACAGATTAGTAACCCGGTCCTGCACGTTACTCATGTTTACAATTCGGCAGAATCCAGCTCTACCAAGCGACCTAGGGCTGTCAAGGACAGATCTTATAACATCTTTCCTAGGAAGCCTAAAAGGGTTTGCCTGCTCGACCAGGGAAACTGATCTGATTAAAATCAAAAGTACTTCACAGGTCTAACCTGGCTACTCTTAACTGTTCTAACTTCCCCCAAACCTAATCTGGCATCATTTATCGCGAATCCATCCCTGTGCTGCACTGAAATAATTTAACCTGCATTTGTCAAGATCTCATTTGCCAGACTTAATATAATTAATTAAAACTTAATATATTTTTTAAAAGTTAATTTATTAAAATGCCTTAATTACCTCTTCATTCAGCTATGCCTCCAGCTGAATTTTGACACATTAAACTCTACAGTAAGAATAACCTTTAAATTAATTTCATGCACTAAACTTAACTTATCTTACATTCATTCACCCTACGGTTCTTCACCGCCCAAATCTGCTCCAATTAAGTAAATAGTTAAGGTTAGACTTGAACTCCTCCGCAACTGCTAGTTTCGCCTCTTTCTCCCTTCTTCCGTCATTGACCCTTTGTCCCGCAATCCGACCATCACCAAGGCTCTTAGCTATATGCTTGGATACAATACCTTACCTTACCCGAGCACCGGGTGTCTCCTTCAACTGTGCCTCACTCCATCAGCTGATCTGTCTCCATAGCAACCATTCACACTCTTCGTGTCCCGGTTGCTCTCTTTTTGTACCTGAGCTACCTGAAGTTGAGTCACTACGGGGGGGGGGCTAAATGCCTTTCAATTGTGATGATAAACTCTTGTACTCTCCTCCTGTGTCCTAACAATGAAGGACCCTAAGCGACTTTCGACTTTAGCATAACTGCTCTTTCCTTTTACTTTAGCGACTGCTTTTTTTTTTTTTTTTTATTTATTTCAATTTTATGAATGACGATGTGGAGGTAATTGCAATTAATTGCAAAGGTAATCCAAATGCCTTGGTCCCAAAGTTTATCCTTTCTCCAAATTTCGAGATCATTCCAAAT